AGAGATAAGCCACTTCCCATTGCTCCAAAAGTACACAAGGAACAGACCAGGATGTTGTTGCCTAAAATTGCTTATGGGGTACAGGTAGTTTTCAACTTACGGCCACAATTGAGCCCAACATTTCTGTTGCTAAGTGACATTTGTTAAGTGAATTCCCCCGCCCCCATTTAACAACCTTTCTTGCCAAAGTTGTTAAGTGAATCACTGAAGTTGTTAAGTTAGTGACATGGTTGTTAAGTGAATCTGGCTTCCCCATTGGCTTTGCTTGTCAGAAGGTCTCAAAACGGGATCACGTGACCCCGGGACACTGCAACCGTCATAAATATGAATCAGTTGCCAAGTGTCTAAATTTTTTATCACCTGACTATGGGAATGATGCAACGGTCGTTAAGTGTGAAAAACGGTCATGTCACTCTTTTTAGTGCCGTTGTAACTTTGAGCGGACACTAAATGGACTGCTGTAAGTTGAGGACTACCTGTCCACGCATAGATGGCTTCATTTGAAAGCAGGAGCCGTGCTGCAATTCTTTTAATGCAACCGTAAGCTGCTTTTTCAAAAACATTGCTCATCTTGCTCCATGGGTGCACTATTTCCATTCCATATTACCCTGTTTCCCTGAAAATAAGACCTCCCTGGATAATAAGCCCAATTGGGCTTTTGAGCGCATGCCACTAAACTAAGCCTTTCCCCCCAAAATAAGCCCTCCCTGAAAATATTGCAATACAGCAGCGGCCATGAAGTGACCATACTCGTTGCCTCCTGCACCTCAAAAATAATAAGACCTCCCCAAAAATAAGGCCAAGTGCTTATTTCCGGGGTCAAAAGAAAATAAGACCCTGTCTTATTTTTGGAGAAACGTGGTACTAGCGAGGAAGCCTGACAGCTACTAAGAAAATTACTTTTTATGAGGTGTGTTATTCCTATTTGTTCTGCCAGCAATCCATTAACACTCTCCTTTTTTAAAAAAAAAAACCTTCTGATACGAGACAGATTATAAATACACGCCTTACCCTGTGCCCTAGTCAAGAATGTGCCTGCGCATATTCATAGAGTCTCTCTAATGCTTATGGAATGCCCGAACCTTCTCAGCATGCGGGTGAGGCGCTTTTCGAAACAGGTGTTCCATCGGGAAACATCAGCGCGAGGGATCTGATCAGAGAAGTTAATTGAAGAAGAGGGGCCTGCGAGGGACACTCAGTGAGAAACACACAGGCTTTGCATGTAAAAGGTTGCAGGTTCAATCTTTGCTTTGGCTGCGCATGAAGGGATACTGTCTAAAATATGGCAAACACATGCATACAGTGCAGAAGTGGGTTGCTGCAGGTTTGCACTGGTTCGGACAAACAAGTAGTGGAAATTGCAACTGGGTCATCGAACCAGTAGGGACAGCCGGCTGGCCACACTCCTGAAGCGGTTCCCCGGTCGCCCATGACACTCTGGGAAGGCGAAAACTGCTTCCCCTGGGCTTCGGAGGCTCTCCAGAGGTTGGAAGCAGACCCGTTTCCAGACTTCCAGAACTTCCAGTAGGCCCATTTTCTCNTGGAAGGCTGAGTTAACCTTGAGCCGGTGAGATTAGAACCGCTGAACTGCAGATAACAGTCAGCTGTAGTGACCTTCAGTACTGCACCCTAACCACTGCACCACCTCGGCTGTAAAAAATTACAGTTGAACAAAATTTGAACCTTGAAATAGTCCAACCGTGTTTCACAAACCTGGGGAAATTACTCAAAATTGAGTAAAAGTGCTTTGGGGGGGGGGGAGGGTTGTCGTACGCAAACTCATTACCCAATCACAAAAAAAAGAGTATTTAAAGGAAGAGTTTCTGATCAGCAGTTTGAGGGAAAGGTTTGGGAAGCACCTGCTTAAACAGTTCCTTTGCAAACGTTCGTCCCTTTGGCAGTCAGCCGAAACTGCACTGATGCCTTTTGACCGCACGGGGGTGGTAGGGAGCTAAGAAACGCAGGATGGATGCCACTTTCCTAGAGGCGGCTGGGCCTTCCCAGCCTAGCTCAGGCAGTCCTAATCAAGCATGGGAAAAGCTGAAGCCAAAGCCCCATGATACGCCCCTCTGGGATCTTACAATCTGCAAAATAAGGACCTCTCTCTTTCAATTTCACCACGCAGAACTCTGCAGAAGAGCTGAGATGATCGCTCCCCAGATGTTCGGCTAGATTGTGCCTATTTTTAGCAAGTTTATCAGTATGAAACTCAGGATGGGATCTTAATGTTGGCACTAAACTTGGCAAATTAATTGCCTAGGAATTATTCAGAGGTTGCACAGCCCATGGTGGTGTTGAGCAAAGCTGGTCTCCACTTAGTAATCCCAGGTTTCTCCAAAGGGTTGCAGTTGGAAATCAAAAACCTTTGACAAGAAGAGAAGAGATTCTGCAGAAGGACATGGGGACCTTATTATCTTCTTTCAAAGACCCCATAATTCCTTGCAGGGTGGAGTCTTGGGCAACTGACTGGAGCTGAGTGTTTACTGGCCGGATGCCCTTTCCCGTCACCAATGCGGAGTTTTGTTCAGCAGATATATTCACATTGTGTCCAGAGATAGAAATACCTGCCCCTACCTAGGATTGAACTCACAGCCTCCTGATTTTGAGACGAGAACTCCACCTCTGGGCCACTGCACCACTCGACCAAGGGACTTTATAATACCGTAATCATAGAGAATTGATAACTTTAGCAGTTATTCAAACAATCAACACATTTATTTATTTATTTATATGTCTATCTGCCCGTCTTATAACAAACTGTGAGTGGCTCCTAATCACAGAGCAGTGGTGGGATTCAAATAATTTACCAACCAGTTCTCTACCCTAATGACCAGCTGGGTAGGCGGGGCTCGGTGGTCATGTGATCATGTGGGCGTGGCCAAGCCAATGTCACTCAGGTTGATGGGCACTTCGCCTTAGTTGTTACAANCCTGAAGCGGTTCCCCGGTCGCCCATGACACTCTGGGAAGGCGAAAACTGCTTCCCCTGGGCTTCGGAGGCTCTCCAGAGGTTGGAAGCAGACCCGTTTCCAGACTTCCAGAACTTCCAGTAGGCCCATTTTCTCCCCTTCCGGAGCCTCCGCGCAGACCCTGTACTTACCTAGCATGATGAATGAACCGTGTGAAGACTCCAGGGAGGGGAGGGGCAGGCTGGGAGGGTAGGGTGGGCATGGGCATGGCCAGCCAGTGGTGGCATTTTGGAGTTCGCTGAACTTGGCAGAATCCTAGCTAGAGGATTGCACAAACCTGTGCGAACCCCCAGGGGCCCACCCCTGAACGTCATTGTTGTTGTTATTTGCCTGTTGTTACCTTTCTAACACATTAACAATGTTATCGTAATGATTCCTAATTCAGTTTTTACCAACCAGGTGGCTTGCAGCTGGAGAGGATTACCACCCCCATCTTCCCCAGCCAGCAGGGAGCATAGTTAGATAAACCTGGTTGAGGAAAAGGCAGCTTTGTCTGTTACAATGTTAAGGGTTTATTTTGAAAAAATAAAAGCTCAGGGATTTGTTGTTGGTTCCCATTAATGCATTCCGAGAGCCATCTGTTTCCTGCAATTACTATCAGCAAAATGCTTTTTAATTTTTTTTCTTCCAAAAGGCTCTTCTGGTTTAACTACATTGGGGCCGAACATCAAAATACTGAATACTGGCATTGGGGAACTGCATTCACAGACAGAGCTGGACTCAAACTCTTGTAGCCATAAACAATACAACGATGCCCAGATAGAGGGGGGAGTTTGGCATTAACTGAATGAAGGGAATTTGCTTAAACAATAGCAATAGCACCCAGACTTATCTACCACTTCACAGTGCTTTTACAGCTTCTCTAAGTGGTTTACAGAGTCAGCCTCTTGCCCCGAACAATTTGAGTTCTCATTTCACCCACCTCGGAAGGATGGAAGGCTGAGTCAAACCTGAGCCTGGTGAGATTCGAACTGTCAAATTACAGGCAGCCAGCAAGCAGCAGAAGTAGTCTGCAGTACTGCATTCTCACCACTGTGCCACCACGGCTCAGTGGTTAGAGTGAATTATGTAATGTGGTGGGGGGTTTTCAATGCTTATTTCCCCTTCCATTAAAGGTATGCCAGAAATCAGTGAAGTCTTGTTCGAAGTTGGACTTGAACAATGGAGCAATGACACAATTTTTAATGAAGCAACTAGATAGGGTGTTCAGCATAACTCACAGTAGTACCTACCACCTCAAGCAATATCAAGCCAAGGAGAGGTTGCAATGGAAGAAATACATAATGTTGTATTTTACTAGGATAGTCAATTATTAAATTGTATTTGTTTATAAAGTTTTTTGGCCACCCATCTTACCGCAGGGTAACTCTGGATGTCTTACAGTCAGAAAAAAATGCATTTATACATGTACATTAAAACATAAATTAAAACCAAACATCTGATGACACTGGGGGGTGGGGGGTGGAGGTGGAGTGCGTGGAGGTGGGATCTGTTGTTACTTGATCAGCTACCTCCACTGCGGTGTTCCTCCATTGGGGCTCCTAGCTGATTGACAGAGCCAGGCCCTTAGGAAAGGATAGAAAAGTTGGGGCCAATTATGGCTGAATGTTTATAGAAGTCCTCTTGTTCATCTGCCCTAAGCAGTAAAGGAAGTCCTCAACTTATAACCATTCATTTAGTGGCAGTTCAAAGTTACAATGGTACTGAATACAATGGAATGGAGTGGAGTGGAATAGAAGGGAGTGGAGTGGAGTGGAATGGAATCAGGGGTGGGTTTCTCCTGGTACGCACTGGTACGCACGTACCGGTTGGTCAAATTCACCGTACCTTTGAGAACCCGTTCGTCAGGTGGCATGGTACCGTAACGCTCGCTCCCCGTTTGCTCCCCCCCACCTGTCCAGTCGCCGCTCACTCGCTCACTCCACCCATCGGCACGATGCTTGCCTCGCCCGCCGCTCACTGATTGGCTGGCTCGCCAATCACCCCGTCTCTGAGAGCCCTATTTAAACCGTGGCGTGGATGGCCAACTTACCTCTTTGGCTCTCGCATCATCCTGTGATCGCATCCTCACTTTGCTTGCCTTCCCTGCTGCTATTGCTGCCTCCCTCAGGTAAGTGAACTAAGTGGCGGGGACGAGAGCTTACGCGGTGCGGCCAGCATCCTAGGCAAGTTCGGGTCCTTTGCGAGGCCTTTGCAAGGTCCCCGAACTGCCTAGGATGCATGGCTACCAGTAAGCACGAGGGTGCAAGTGTGGTCAGCGATGTAGAAGACTGGCAAGGACAGTCATCTTCCTTCTGTAAGTAGCAGTTTTATTGTTTTGTGTACTTATTTTAATCTTATTTAAGTAGCAAGTGCACAAAATAATAAATTTCCTTTTTTATATCTTCTTTTTGTAGATCATTCATTGAGGCAAAGAATTCAGTGACATCGACTTGGCCACTCCCACTCAGTCACATGACTGCCAAGCCACTCCCACTAAACAAGCCACACCTACAGAATAGATTCTAAAAAAATTTGAAACCCACCATTGAATGGAATGGAATGGAATGGAACAGAACAGAATTAGAGTAGAGTAGGGTCGAGTAGAGTAGACTGAAATGGAATGGAATGGAATAGAATAGAATACAATAGAATAGAATTCTTTATTGGCCAAGTGTGATTGGACACACAAGGAATTTGTCTACACTCTCAGTGTACATAAAAGAAAAGATACATTTGTCAAGAATCATGAGCTACAACATTGCAAAGTATAGTCATAGGGTACAAAAAAGCAATCAAATCATACTAGGAAACAATCAATATAAATCATAAGGATACAAGCAACAAAGTTACATGCAAACAGTCATGAGTGGGAGGACATGGGTGATAGGAATGATGAGAAGATTAAGAGTAATAGTAATGCGAACTTAGTAAATAGTTTGACAGTGTTGAGGGAATTATTTGTTTAGCAGAGTGATGGCATTCGGGCGGGGGGGGGGGACTGTCCTTGCATCTAGTTGTGTCTAGAAAAGAAATACAGAGAACTAAAATTCCCCCCCAAAACTTTTGGGTTGCCTTAGTGCCACCATGTACTCAGCAATAAATGGGTAGTGGAATGTCCTAAATTTATCTTTCTCCCACCTTCAAATGGAGATCTGTGATAAGCCTATCCGTCCCTCTTCCTAAAAAAAGAAAACCCAATGAAAGGATATTGTCTGAAGGACAAAAAGAGGCATCAATAGTCTTTAGTACTGAGCTGAAAATTCAGGCCAATGCTTTGTCTGAACATCTGTGAATCCTTGAAGAGGACACAAAGGACTGAGCACACCCCTGTCCTTGCATTTCTCTTAACATCCTGGGAAATTTCTTTCAGCATTTCCATTGTCAAGCAGTGTGAATGGGGTGAGCTGGGCAGAAGGACAAGCCGTGGGTATATATCCTATCTCAAACCTCATTTGGGAGCATCACGCTTTCCCCCCTCGGCTTTTTTTCAGTTGAGGGGAGAAAGGCACTGATGTTGTTATCTAGTTTGGGTAATGAAACATCTGCAAGAAAACAAGCAAGCTCAGAGAGCATCCAGGATCCCTCTTGTCAACCCTGGGCTTCAAATACTCTCCTTTGTAAGAAAGACGTTCTGCCTCCTGAGCTATCAGCAGTGAGCTCAACGGAATAACAGAGTTGGAAGGGAGCTTGCAGTTCTTTGAAAGAAAAGCAGGGCAAATATAGGTGTAAATAGACCAGGGAAGAGCAATTTAACAAGTCAGAAGCAGTGGTGGGATTCAGCCAGTTCGCACCACTTTGGGAGAACTGGTTAACTTTCTGAGCAGTTTGGTGAACTGGTTGTTGGAAGAAATCATTAGGGCAGAGAAATTGCTAAATTATTTGAATCCCACTACTGGTTAGATTAGAAGGGACCTTGGAGGTCTTCGAGTCCAGCCCCCTGCTCAGGCAGGAAACCCTATACCATTTCATACAAATGGTTATCCAATCTCTTCTTTTAAACTTCCAGTGTTGGAGCATTCACAACCTATGGAGGCAAGTTGATTAATTGTTCTCACTGTCAGGAAATTTCTCCTCAGTTCTAGGTTGCTTCTGTCTTTAATTAATTCTCATTCGTTACTTCTTGTCCTGCCTTCAAATGCTTTGAGGAATAGCTTGACCCCCTATTCTTTGCGGCGGCCCATTAGATATTGGAACACTGCTATCCTGTCACCCCTAGTCCTTCTTTTCATTAAACTAGACATACCCAGTTCCTGCAACTGTCCTTTATGTTTTGGCCTCCAGTCCCCTCATCATCTTTGTTGCTCTTCTCTGATCTTTCTAGTTCTTTATATGTTCTTCATCTGTTTTAGCCTCAAGACTGCATCTGTGTCATCACATTGTAGAAGATCAGCAGGGGAAGATATCTTCAGAGATATCCCCGGGAACGTTTCACTCCCCAGTGCCTTTATTGAACCCCAACATTTTGGGACAGTCCATCCTTCCTCCTTCTGTTTGCTCAAAATTTCAGAGCAAGCCGATGGGATTTTTGCCGCTGGGAAAGGAAGTGCAGCTGGGGCAGGGGGGTGGGTGGGAGTGATGTTTAGGAGAGGGGGTGGGAGAGAAGAAGAAAAAAGGGGGAATGCTTTTCAAAAGGAACTTTTGCAACCCGTTTTCAAGCGAGCAGAAAGCCGCAGCCAGCCTGCTAACTTGGGTGGCACAGCCCTCTGCAGCTGGGACACTACCCAGACTTATAATTATCTCTAATTCCTCCCCTGCTGCTGCCACTGTGTTAACGATGCCCACAGCTGCATGCTGAAGGGGCAATTAATTGCCTGGTGCATGTAACCGTGGTTACGGGAAGGATCCAGAGGGTGGGTAGAAGTGGAAGGTAATTGATCTAAAACCTGGCCGGAGGATGGATGGCTGCAGAATGGATTTGAGATCACAAAGGAAGCTACGGCTAGTAGCTTGGGATGAACTTTATTTATTTATTATTTGTGGGTGGCTACCATTTGGTGGTCACCCACCACACTTCCCCTTACTGTAAGGCAACAGGGGAATGGGGCTGAGATGATATAGGTCAGCAGCAGCCCCCAACCTTTTGGGCACTAGGGATTGGCTCCGGGGAGAGGGGTTTCTCTGTAGATTAGAGTGGGTGTAGTTTCGCATGCTGCATGCATCCCACGGATGGGACTTTGCTTGTTTGCCTGGATCAGTTTTTCTGGCATGCCATGGCCCAGTGCCAGTCCACAAACCGGGGGTTTTGGGGGACCCCTGATATAGGTGCATACCAGGGGTGGGTTTCTCGCCCCGTTCCAACCGGTTCGGTTGGAACGAGGCCGGCGGCGTCCTCGTGCACGCGCGCGCTGCACGCATGCGTACTAGTGTCTGCGCGACGCTCCAGCTGCTCCTGGAGGATCGCGCAGGCGCTGTATGCGTCCTGCACATGCGTAGAAGCGCAGAACTCATCAAAACCGGGTAAGGACCGTGGGCGGGCGGGCGCGCCCTTAGCCGTTCCCGGAAGTTACTTACTTCTGGGTTCACCGACCAACCGGTTTGCAGGGACCGCCGC